TTCTAGACTGGCAGGCATGGGGAGGAAGTGAGGTGAGCAGCACACACATTTAGAAAGGGAAATTCACACAGGAATGAGACTGTCTTCAAATCAAACAACCAGTTTTGTCCTCAGCCTTTCCTGCTGAAAAATGTCAAGCATTAACCACGCACAGAACACTTAGGAGTCAGGTTGGGAGAGTAGCCACATTACGTATTTAGCATATTTTTACGATTAGTAAAGAATGCTTCTAAATTAGACACAGTCCTAAATGCCTACCGTTATTGGAAAGGATATAGAAGGGCATGGAATAGGGTTACTAAAGAATAACTGATAATTTGATGAAGATTTGAGTGTTAAACTCCAGAAATAACTAATATTTTATGGTGAGTACAAGAAGCCCCAGGCCTTCCTACAAATTACTCACAAAAGTCCTTTCAACTCCACCAGGCCAAAGTGAGCTTGATGAAGCCAGTCTAAAAAAACAAAACCATGAGTGCACCATTTTCAGTTTGCATTTGGTCTGAAATTGCAGAAATGAAACATACTTAACCCTGTCCACTGGAGAAATTTCAGATGATTGCTACTGTGACAAAACTAGGTTTAGAAAATTTTTACCTACAGTAGATGTCAGAATTCATATTAGTTCCAGAAAGCAAAAAGAAGACTCTTTCCGCACTATGTAGAATTTGCCATTATGGTCCAAGAAATCCCCCCTTCTGGGAACAGCAGCACATGTTTGGTTGAGGAACAAAAGCACCTGCCAAAACCCCTGGGGGGTAGGAGGGGTTGGCACTCACAGTCTGTTAGCTCCTGAAAAAGGAAGGCAAACAGCCAGGGAACCATGAAATGGAGTCACAGACTGTGTTTTGAAAAGCTCCAGTCTGATGTGTTGAAGGTATCCCGTCTTTGGCCCAATATGCTTCTCCCTAAAAGATACCCTTGCCTCTGTGAGCTCTTCCTCAAAGGGACCTTCCCTGTTGAAAACTGCAGCCCACACTCCCACCCAATGTGGCGCTCTCCGTTCCTTTTCCCCGCTCCATTTTTCCTCCTCAAATAAAATTTGAGCTACCATAAATTTTTGTGTTTCCACCTCTAGAATGAGAACTCTACAAGGGCAAGAGAGTTTGCTCGTTTTGTTCCCTTGCTGTATTCTCGGGGCCTGGAATATCTTTATAATCCAGCTACATATTAATGCTTTAGAACACCTTTTTTTTTTTTTTTTTTTTTTTTTTTCT